CCCTGTCTTTGGCAAGGTATCAAAGGCAATCACCATGATGAGTACTTCAGACCTTCCAGCACAAGACCTATACTTTCATTGTAAAAGTCTCGGCCAGTACGATATAATTTGCTTTCATTGTGTGCAGTGAAGAGATGTTTCACAGAAACTTTGTGGATGATTACAACCTGTATCTTAAAATGAAACTCAAAATCTAAACCACAACATCGCATGCAAAGATGTTAAATGTTGCAAAAAGAAGGACACAGTGGGACACAAAAAAAAAGTAGATTTGGTAGATGCCAGTCCTCTTTAAACAACTCAGCTCAAAAGAGCACTCTTTAGCCTTATTTTTTTAATATATATCCACCATTTGTGGATACGTGCCATGTCAGGCACTTCCTTGCTGCCATCTCTCTTAGTTTCCCTTGTCCTTCCCAGCCATTTTTGCAGATCTTCAGAGCAGGCTGAACAATAGCCACCAAAAGCTTACAACCCCACTTCATTCCAATATGCCTTCATTGTAAGTAGTGGCATGCACCTGTGCCTGGCGTTGGAGCATGCAGTTATATACTCTTTGCCAGGTGTGGTTTTCCTTTTAATAAGATAGACCTCGGAAGTACTCAGTAGGTGAATAGGATTCCATCCCTGCTTCAGATTTGGTGGGAGTTTTGGCAGTTATGACCCTTGAAATACTTAATTTCAAAACATAACTTCAGACACTGCCTATCAGCTCTTTTGATGAAAGAGAGCACACTGTATCCTTGTCCTTACACTGCCTCCAGTAACGGAGCTCATAAGACTGCCTGTAGTACATTTCAGATTGCTTGTGGATAATTTGTTCCACCAAGATCCAAAGGTAACTTCCCAGACTAAAGTGTGAGACAACTCCTCTCACATTTCTGAGATGTTACCCATAATGAAATCCACCGCAACTGCTAAGTCATTCACTGTCTCAGCTAACACGATTTCCTGCTCCAGTTCCCAGCGTTCAGTTCACTAAAACAATCTTCTGATCTTGTGTTTGGGTTCATGTTCCCCAGTTTCTGTGTCTGTTGAGACCAAACGAGTATTTATGTTATTTCCCCGCTTCCTGGAGTAATTTAAGAACTGTCACATTCGATCATATATTCTCTATTCCTTTGCAATTTCACATGTTCTCCAGACACCTCCAAATTAAATTCCTGTTGCTAAATAACAACCAGCACTGAAAGAGGAGCTGTGAGATGGCTACCTGTTATGCTGCTGTTCCCCAGAAGGTGTTTCTGGGAATTTTCACTAGTCACATATGATCCTCTGTTGTGCTTAGCCTCCTCTTTCACTTGAGCCTTACCTTTGGGGTAATTCTTTTGCAGTTGTAGCTCCTACTCTTCTTAGCAATTGCATTAAATATCTTCGTACTGTTGATTAGTTCATTTAACCATTTTTGCAGTCCTCTTTGTGCCCCTTTTTCCTGAAAATCTTCATCATACGTGGCAACCTGATTGACACGTACTTCACCCACTTTTCTGGATGAGCCAGGGCAGGAGTTATCCATATCCGTGGTATCTGACTTCCAAGGGTTTTAGGACCAACTACAGGGGTTTTCTCCAACTTTCCTTTATGTAGCCTTCAGCTATTTCTTCGCTGTCTTCTCATTTACCAGAAAGTCTTGTTTTCTTCTGTACAGCTGGAATTGTGACAAAGGACTTTTTTCTTTTTTGGTTTCAGCTTCCAGCATTTCTAAGCCTGTATTTCATTTTGTGCTTTCCTTAGGACTTCTTCAGGCTGGATCAGTGCATCCTCACCATCTTCCTTCTCTTTGGTCCTTTTCACCTATTGCTGATGCACAGATGGAAGGTGCTAGAGAATAACCAGAAAAAGTTTCACTCAAATACTCCCTGAAGGGATGACATGATGGGATTTGTAGTGGAGGGTGTGTTTTTTCTTTCCCTTTGGAACAGCAAAATACCCCTCCCAAATCTCAGTAATCCCAATACCTTACATGCTTCTAACAAGTATCTTACACCAAGAATGACATTTATAATAACAATATTACACACACACACACACACCACGATCTGTAGGAGACTTCAGATTCTACTAAAACAGAAATCTGAAAAAATATGGCAAATTTTGCGAGGACATTAATACACGCTGGAAATCCTGGACACTGGTTGTTCAGGGTTACCTACATTGTCACTTGCAAGCTCACAAAGTGAAACTAGCTATAATTTTAACTAAGTTTTACTCTGCAGCTCACAAATGCATTCATCACAAGAAGTAACTGAGTCACAATGTGAGAAATTCTCTTTCCTATGGTACTCTTCTCTGGTCCTGGGTGGTATAGAGCAGGACTATTAGGCATCTTGCTTAAGCAGAGAGTAGAAATAATCTTTTCTAACAGTGTGACTTGCAAGGGTTATTTACTTACTGCTGAATGACTTCCCATTGCATATACACCAGGAAGTTTTTGACGTTACTGAGCTTTCCACTGCAGTGACGGCTACTCTGATTTATCACTGGGGCAAGGCTGAGGATGCAAAAAAATCAAAGGCTGTGCAAAGTATGATTAAATCAATGATGACAGGCTTCACCTAGAAACTGAGAGTTGGTTTTGTGGAGAACATACGGGGAAAAAAAAACAACAACGTTTTTGGTAGGAACCTTACAAATGAACACACAGAGGGACATTGGGAAGCTGCAAACGCAGCAGTGGTTATATGCACCCATGCTGCAGTGATGGAAATGAGAGTGTCTTGAGAGGGCTTTTCATGGAAGTGTTCACTTCTTGTTACCTGAGTTTTGCTGGAAGTGAAGGTGTGAATAAGACCCTTTTACCAACCTGCAAGGAATTTTCACCTTGCTTTTCATTGCATAATACTTAAATCCAGAAACCTGTTTCTCAACACTGCACAACAAAACTCTGGTTCAGAGACATTGTAGCAAATCAGAGACTATCAACATTATTTCCAGTGGGACCAGACAACTGCGCAGTAATTTAACTTTCAGTTATTACTGGTTTGGGACTCAGTGACCAGAGATGCTAATGATGTATTTTCCTTCAGTGAACAATATCTATGTTAAAAAACATCAGTTTTTTCTCCTGCTCTTTTGCCGTTGCTGAAATTTGTGACGAAACAGATTTTTGTGAATATTTCCAATCTGCTGAACTACCCACTGAAAAAAAACATTGAGGGCAGTGTTCTAGCTTGGCTTTGTGAAGACCTTCAGATGGTTCATTAGGCTATTCCCAGTGCTCTCAGACATCTAGCTTTCTTAATAACACTTGCATCTAAGAGAGCAGACATTACAGTTTTTCTTTTACTCTCTGCAAAACCATGTGCTATGGAAAGTTGCATGGTATGTGACATAAAAAAGACCCAAACCATTTACAGATCAATACAGCCCAATCCTACTGTATGCTTCCAATATATTGCTGAATTCTCATACTTGATCCAGACTTGTGGTCTAGGTTACTTCTGCCCTGCTCCTGTTTGCTAGCTGATGAAGTACAGTAGCAACAGCTGCTAGCACTAGGAAAGAGTCAACTTCAAAAGGCAAGACTAACAAAGCAAATCAGCTTTGTTCTAGAAAGTACAAGGAAGGTACTAGAAATTATGCTTTCTAGGTTAAAAAGTGGAGGAAAAAAATAACAAATCTCATTAGGGAATAAATATTTGTACTTGCATAGCTTAACAAGACAGTCCTGTATAGTCTCATGTTGTAACTGTGTGAAATGCAATACTGAGAACTGGCATCAGGAACGGCCCCAAGAATACCAGATTGTCCTTATGTAAAAAGGAAAAAAGCAAGAGATGCAGATATGTGGTGTGTTCAATTCTGAGCTTCTAAAATAGACAAATATATGGAGGTAACTCAGATAAATAGCCTTTTGTTAAGAAAAAGAATTGTCTAGTGAGTTGCTTCCTTCCACATTTTCTACAGATTTCATCAAGACACTGGAGAGACTGCCCAAGTGCATCTTTGTTTTGCTGGAAGGATTGTCACCTGTTTGCAAATACCTCAGGCTGTCTGGGCTTCTGGCCTTTGGCCTGCAACAGATATCTCTGTCATATAGCCTCATACTCCTCTTCCTAAGAACAGTTACACTAAGTGCCTCCTCTGAGGAGCAACCCTTCACCTTCACCACCTGCCAAAACCTCTTACCTCAAATTCTTGTCTCCATCTCTTCTGAGACAACGTGTTAGGATAAATGAGCTTAGTGCTGTTCCTCCAGTAGAGAAGTATGCAGCTCTCTGAACCATTGGCCTTTTTTTGCTTCGTATCTGCAACCAGTCCTGACCTTAACTGTCCCATTATGTTTATAAAATATCATTTCATAACACATAAACATACCATACTCAGAAATTATCGCACCAGAGATATATTTTGCTCTATCAAACTATCCTTCACCATTATATCCTGAGCAACTTAAAATAATTCTGTCTATACTTAGCTAGCTTGCCATACTAAAAATAATGCATTCCAAGCTACTATAGCATTGATTGTAACAGCAATTAGATTATTTCTCTGTGTTACGGAATGACACACAAAAACTGAGCAGGCCAGATCTTGTCAGTTGTAGTTCTGGAACTTAAGAGAAATAAATTTCAAGTACAGTGAATTTACTATAAAATATGCTTGGTAATCCCTCTTAAACAGAGTGCTCACTTAAAAGGTCACTTACGCATACATCCATTAAACTCCTCCCACAAAATGGAATCAACAAACCTTCTTGCCACTTTATGCAATGTCAATAAATACCTCCAAAAAATATCCAGACCTTGCAAAATCCTCCCCCACATCTGTTTCCAATCATCACTTCATAATTCAGGGCACATCTCCCATTCCGGAAACCATTTGGACTTTGTATAGAAAGATAAGGCCTTCTCCTGTCTGGCCCAGATACAGTTTATACCAAAGATTAATCAAATGCTATCCTAATTTATATGATGAACAAAGCAGATCAGTTGGTTTTGCAGACTCAAGGATCAGTGCTTTGGGGAAAGTAAGAATAATTGAATCAGGCCATCAGTAGATGCTTTGCCAGATTTTAGTAGGAGCAGCTGGAATGAACACTTTGAAAATCTTGCCCATGACATTCACCTCTAGGAGCTTTTGCTCCTGCTGACAGATGATAGTAGTTTGATCTTCCTGAGAGAAAGGCTTTAACGGCCCCTTTCCTTTCCCTCAAATCTACTTTGGTTTCCTACTGCTAATGGTTTCTGGTCCCTCTAGAAGTTACAACCCCAGGCTCCCTCCCATTCAATACCTGTCACAAAATACCTATACTTCTGTTCTCTACTGGTTTTTTTTTTTCTTAATTCACATTCATCTTCTACAGTCTTCTTGCCTTTATGTCACCATAAAGACCTTTTCTCCCTGTGTTACTTCTCCATCTCTCAGTGAAATATCACCATCCAGACCTCCATAAAGCAAGAAACTTCCTTTATATGACTGTACTTGAGGTGCAAATGCCATGATTCCTAAGCCACATTTCATATAGTTTTCTTCAACCAGCATTGCCCCCACTGAACGCCCTTGTTTAGCATTGAACACTGCAGTACAAGCGACGTGCAACTTTCTTGCCACATTCATTACTTCTTTCCTGAAAGCAGAGCTTACAAAGCCTACCTGCAAACCAGGACCCCGTTGTATCAAATTCAGCAGACACAGAACAAAGCAACCCAGAAAAGATGGCCCTTGTCTCTCTCTACTAAATAGCCAAAGTACAAATCCTAGTTTTGGAGCCAGCTCATTCAGCTTTGCCACAGGGATATTTGCACTATGGTATGTCACAGTGCAGCTGTGCCCTAAGTAAATTTTAAAAGACCATTGTACAGACTCAGGACAAGCAGGCATTCTACAGAGGCATATAACACTTGAAAAGCCTTAATTGTCAAGAAGAAGAAGAGTTTGTTAAGGGCAGTGTTTGAAAGGGAAATAATTTAATCCAAAAATGGCAAACCTGAGTCAGAACTTCCAGATAAGATTTCTGGGAGTGGTATGCACCAGCATGGAAATCATCCTCCAAGGACAACAAAACCTTTCTCTTTTGGAATGTTAAGGCTCACGTAGACTGGGCACAGAGCAGAATCTATGGAACAACATTAGATGCCACAGAAGGCTTACTCCACTGCTAAATTCAGTGACAGAGAAATGAGCTGAAAGCTCTGGTGTTAACAAGGTACCTCTTATTCACAGCTCAGCTGTCTTTTACATTTACATTAATTACAGGATGCTGACGTGGTGGTTTCTTCTGTACCCTGATATGAATTTTAAGCTGAAAAACACTAATAAAAAGATTAAATTACTGACACAGATACATTAAATGATTATTTGATATTATTATATTCTATGTACATTGCAAAAAGAATTAAAATTATTCGCCTTCCTTCAAAAATGGGAGAGAAGAGAAAGGCAAATTGGAAATTGGCTCTGAATCCCACAGAGACATTACTGACACAGGCATTTGCCTCAGCAGTCCAGCAAGTCACGTGGCTGGCACATGCTCCTGGGCAGGCAAGTCTTCAATAAAGATAAAAGCATGGCTAATTGCAGTCTTCCTTCTCAGGTGCCACAGCAGTAGGCATTAGCCAGACTGAGCTCAAAAGCATTATAATAATTAGCCCAAGTTGGTGGTGGGCCAGCGTTCATCGGCTGCGATGACTTGGCTGGGATGGAGCTGCACAGTCAAAAGCTATCTCTAAAACTGTCCCCTGTAGATGACAATTCCAGATACTGAGGCTGAGTTGCAAGGTTGAGTGCAGGGTAAAAAGTAAAAGACCAAGAAGTTAAGACAAAGGAGAATTTGGGACACCTCTCCTCATAACCTTTTTTCTTAGCTATGGGAAGGCCACAGGGCAGAATAATCCTATCCCGTGGAAGGAGTTAAAAAGACACAAGTTGTAGCTACTGCTGATGTTTGCTCAGGAGAGCTACTAGAGTGAGTGGCTGCTATTTGAGGCCAAACTCTTTCTCCTTCTGAAATTCTTTTTGGTGATACTTTATGCAACATTAAATGAAGGTCAGATAAAGGGCATGTTAGTAATGTCCTTGCAGTGAAAACCACAAGTTAACTATTAGATTATCTTTATTTACTTACTCTTTTAAAAGAAGTTTCCCTTTGAAATTCTGTGAGGAACCTGTGAGACAGAGAACAATATTTGGACACAGCTCTGAATAGTTAATGGTAGTTCTCTGTGCTCTGTCTGAAACCAGTTGTGGTTCCCTTTTAGCACATTAGTTGAATGCATACACTGGGAATATTTTACTTTGGTTTATGTTATAGCAATTTGCAAAACTTACACTAATAGGCCAATTTCATGCAATTACCTGAATGCAAAGCATTGTTTAGTTGAATTCCCTTAGCCTAGTCCTACTAGTTCCCTTGGCTGTCTCACTTTCAATTATCAACCAAGGTCTGCACATCAGATGAAATGCTGCTATTGTAAAAATGGATCCTTTCTTTCAAAGTTTTCAGTGGTTTTCTATCATACAGGCTGGTTTTATTGTCTGCAACCAAAGGAATTTAAGGAAATCTGATTTTAACATCACAGGCCTGCAATACATACACTTTAGCTAGAGCGGTTTGTTGTGTTATTGTGGTAATAACCCAGTTATGTTTGCACCATAATTGTACTTTTAAGTGTCTCTTGAGCTGCACTTACGGGGCAAAGTGTGGCTTTATACACAGGGGAAGGGGAAGAGGAAGAGAATACAGAGAATTTTCCTTCCATGTATAACACAGCTAACACAGTTTTGGAAGGCAGGCAATGGATGATGTTAACATCATATAAGTGCCAACTTGGTGTTCAAGTCTGAATATTCAGAAATCATAAGGCTGGCTAAAGGGATCATATGTGTCTAGTTTTGTATTTGCTTTTCCCATTTTGGAGCCTTTGCAGTTCACTTCTTCAAGTTTCGCTACACATCTAGGAAAAAAAATTGAACTTCTCTCAAGTTTGAGATTTTATTAAACCATGACTCCACAATCTAGTGCTTAAACAAAAATACCAAAGAAGTGGAGACTTATAAGAGCCAGTGACAATATGCTAAGTTGCCCAAATCAAGTTAAAGCATTAACCTATCCAACTGACCTGCCTTTCTGGAAGGAAGCACATTTTGTATGTCTTGAAAAATGTGAATAACATTATACTATGCAGTATACTTCCTTGAAGCTTCTGAAGGCTTGGCTCCTGCTCCAATACATTCCTCTCTTTCTGTTCCTCTGAAATACATATCCTGCATTTCCTCATTTGTGCTCAGTGTACTGCATCCTTGATTGCTTATAGAGTTCTCCTTTTTGGTAGGAGGAAACCATTCTTACATCCATTTTGGAAAGAACTTGTATTCCTTGGATCAACCAGGACAGTTGCAATAGAGCCTTTCTAACTGAAGTTACATGCAGACATTTCTTTGAAACTCAGTTCCTAAGCTCCATTCCTTTGTTATAAAAGGAAAGAAATAGTATGCATTTCATGATAAGATAGGGCAGACGTTAGCCTCTTGCCTCACCTGGTGCTTTCCTTTGACTATAGAGGAAGGCTTCAATAGCTAGGTCCTTTCTTGTAGACAGGTAACATTAGATGAAATGAATCCCAACCCTGATGTCACATTTTGAGAACCCATGAATCAAAATAATAAAATTAAGTTCCTGTTTCATTTTTGCTGCCTTAAATATCTTCTATCTTTTTTGCTATAAAGGAACAGCTTTCTCTCCAGGCAGTGAAATTTCTGTTCCTTATAAAAGTTAGACATTTATCTGACATCCTTATTCATCAATACTAGCTACCCACTGCCAAGTAGCTCCCCAGAATGCATAGCTATAAAGTTCTGCATTAACAAATGCCAGTACATGGGACATAGAGCAGAAAAATATTCAAATGAAGGTGCATTTGCATTTGACACTTGCAAAGCACTATATAAACAGAAAATTAGAAGGGCTCAAAATCCACATTCTTAGTGCTCTTAATGTTGTATATCAATATACATTGTATTTCATTATACATTTTTTAAAAGGCTCCACCTACTCTCTGGGATTAGAAATCTTTTAATAGCATGAAGTTAGTCAATCTTTTTTTTTTCTCATTAATATTCATATATATGCCCCAGTTCTTGCATTTAAATCCACTAATGAAGATTCACTGTTGCTGCAGTTGAACACTCTGCAGGACCAGGACCCCTTTGTGCCAGAAGCCCCTGTGGAACACTGTACTGTGTGGTGGGCAAACATAATTCATTAAACAGCAGCTGATTCGCCTGCTTTCTGCTGCCTTAGCCCTTCTGCTAATTCCTTGAACCTCTTCAGTGCACCCTCAATTGAGGAGGAATGTGTTCTCATTGCAGCAATGAAAGTGATAAGCAGGAACTTGTAATGCATGTGCCCTCTGTGTTGCAAAAGACATTTTAATAATCTTTGTCAAGTTATTTGATCTTTTCATCTTTTGCATGACAAAATGTTCCCCATTTTTTAAAAGGGAGACAAGTATTGCTTCTCTTCTTCCCAAGGATTTCTTATAACCTTACAGCTTCTGGCTTCCATTTAGCACTAACTCGATCTCTTTATGCAGCACCACACTGTGATGTGTAAACTTAGCCTGAAACAGAGTCTGAAGGCAAAAGAGATGATTATGATCATCTAGTCTGGCTTCCTCTAGGATTTTTCTCAGGGATTCCTGCATGAGGCTCCACGGTTTCAGTTGCCAAGGAAACAACTATAAATCTTTTCCATCCCTCTTCCTCCTTTCCATTGTGTCATTTCTTGCTACAATAAAAAATCTTGTCAAATGTTCTAGTCCCTAGCTCTAGCATCCTCACCTCCACCCCAAAGAAAGAGTGGGAAAGGATAGCAAGGATCCTTGGCTGGGAGTTCAGCCTGAAGCTTACCTCTTATCCTTAGATTCTGTGCTGCGAAGCGGATGACCCTTTGAAAATGATTCTCTTAGTTGCAGATAGCTTATCAAATCCTGTATTGTTTGACTAAAACAAAACATATTATATTTTAAATTACTGAGCAGTGTACTGCTTGATGTATTTTTGGTATCATTCCTTTCACCTCAGCCTTAGCTCCATTACAGCCTCATACAGAAATGCTGTGGAAACACCCCCCACACCTTATTGTAACACGCAGCTGAAGAGAAAAAACAATAATGAGGAGAAGAAAGGAAGATACAAAGAGATGGAGATCTGTGTAGGAGGAAGATATAGAAGGCAAAAACCCTGCATCAGATAGAGAACAAATTATGTGTAGTCAGAGCCAGAGATAGACTTTTGGAGTGTCAGGAGGTTAAACTCAGGTACCTCCAGGCAAGTTACAGGAAACCTGTACGGTTCCCTAAGGTCTAATGAGTCTAACCTGTATAATTCATAGCTACTGACAGTTGCACTGATTTTATAACCCTTCAATGCAACTCTGACCAGGGTGACTGTTTTAAAGACAGAAGCAATGTAATTCGAAAGGTAATCCCCTCAAATGCAGTGGAATCGTATCAGTGTAATCAGTTCCTCAGTGTGCACCAGGGGCAGGACAAACACACCAACTGCCGGAAGAGAAAGAAGAGGCAAGTACTCACAAAAAGTTTACGGGGAAGAGGGCTTCCATTTGGCATGTTTAAATAATTCACCATTTAGGGTAATTGTCCTGCTTTTGTAAGTCACCTAGCAATAGCTCACATAAAGGAAGACAGACTTACTGTGCAAGCCTTGGGAATATCAGATGATCCAGAATAGTCAGTTGTACACAGAAACCGAAACATTCTTCGAGGTAAGCTCCTAGGGAGAAGAAACAAAGTAGATCACATTGAAAAGACAATTCCTCTTTATGGTCAGGGAGGGATGCTTCAGCCCTTCCTCTTCTGGATACTCATTTTTGGAACTTACTGAGGTTTTTTAGCTCTGTATGTGTATGAGACATAACACTATGGTTCTGAGGATGGCCAAACCATGCATGTGTACAGAGAAGATATTATGTCATACATACATCGCCATGGAAACACTTAGCACATGTCCAGTAGATCTGGCACCAGAGCCACTGTGCTTCTGCTGGGACCTCCTCAGGTCCATGCTTCAGGACAGGCCTGTGGCATCACTCGCTATGAGCTGAGGAAATCTGTATGTTTTGGCCATTAGAGCCCATTTTAAAATGCTGCGTCTAAATGTAGCCCAGCAGGATGCACAGATACTGAAATTCCCCGATACTTTCTCTGCAGAAATCACCTGCTGACAGTTTACGGTACTTGTAACAGAAATAGTAAGATAAATCTGTGTGTGAAAAACAATGGGGAAAACAAATTATTTTTGTGAATGTCAACAATATCTCTGTTTTCCTGTGGGCTGTTTTCCCACCAGGCTGTACAGAAGAATGTTAGAGAAAAGCAAATAGGAAAGAACAGTGACAATGTACCAATACCATTTCAAATATCACAGAGCTGTTAAAGAACCATGTCAGGGAGTATCTAACCCACATACCTTCAGGCAGGCAAGTGTTAATTTCTCCTAAGTCCAGGGAGAATAAAGAAGACACTGAACTGCTGAAAACCACAGCTAGACAAAGAGGAATGGATGAACAGCAGTGTGGGATGAGTCAGAAAAAAACAGCCTTTAAGAGAGAGTTGGTTTTGGCACTTGACCTCAAACAGGTGTGTTTATGCTCAGTGGATACTGTAGAAACAACCGTGTTTTCTGGTAACACATGTACAAATGCTCTTTCTTTGTTTCAACTCACATTTCTTCTGATTTCCTCTGGCTGAATAAGATTCTTTCAAAAAAGATGTTCTTGAGCCCCCTGGATCAGCTGCTGGCCCAAAGTGTGTTAGGTCAGTGCAGTGCAGAGCAGGGGCTGCTTGTTTCCCTATTCACATGTTGAGTGGTGGATTCAATTACCCTGGAGAAGACTATTTGGAGGGAAAAAAACCCCATCCCTGGTTGGCAGTGATATGAGATGACTTAGTGTGCCAGCTGCCTCACAAGTCTCTGCTTCCTCCCCTCAGCAGCAGTACGCAAGTGTCAGTACTCATTATTCCCAGACTCCATAACAGAAAACTCCGAAACAAAACAGAAAAATAAAACCCAACTAATCTCAAGAAAAACCCCACCAACAAACTGCTAAACCTGAGATGAGTACTTGTCACTCGACCCCACTGTTTTTCCCTCCTGGGCTGTGTTGCATAGTTCCTGGGCAGCCGTTCCCCTGCTGCTGCTGCCTGCCCTTGCCAGGCTGATGGCAGGAAAGAGGGTATCAATTTGCAAAAAAGAGAGTGATCCTACTCCACGCAGAAGCGGCACAATCTTCCCTAATGGCAGACCTGAGCATACTAATTGGGCAAATGACATCAGGAGGCAGAAACTGAAGGTTATCTTTTCTACAGTCTGCATGAGCTTTACACTACTCAACTTTCGTTTGTACTGTAGGACAGCTTATAGGCTTTGGGGTGCAGGCACCAGGGTCCTATCCACAGCGCTGTCTGGAGATGGGCTGGGGAGGAAAAGATTTTCTGCTGTTTAGGAAGCTTGAGAGGGATTCAGGGAGGGCCCTGATCATGAAGGTCTTGTGTCCTGGAGAGCCTCTGATAATTGCTTTTGGATCAAAGACCAACCCTTTATGCCCTTAGAATCAAAAAATAGCTAATTTCACCAAATCTCCTCTAAGATCTTGGATGTTTCAGACTCATTGATTCCATCAACTAAGCTAAAATGTCCCCATCTACTCCTATTCACAGCCTCCATCTTTTCAAGATTAAGTAGCCCTTTGCTATCAGAGCATGTCCTATCACTCTGCATAACTGTCTTCCTCCTGTTACCAATAGTGATTTCTGTTCATTTAGATCACAGATTAAATTGTCACATGAATGGATTAAGCAGATTGCCCTAATCTCCATGAACCTCTCCTGGTATCCTATCTGGCTCTTTGGGGTCTGTTGGTTGGCCTCCTCTCGGTGCTGTTCAAGCATGCTGTATTGATATTGCATGGCATTCATTTTTAGACTCAAAACGCAGCGCATTGCTGACTCATACACCCAACACAGTTTCACATACATTATCACTATGCAATTACCCTTGTCAACCAAATATATAGTCTCATCAGAGCACAAAAATCAGTTTTGCTTGACAAGTTTGCTTCTAGTTACCATGAAACTATGGCAGTGGCATTAATCACATTCTTTCCCTTAATTCTTTCTTGACTGAATCCCATACAAGATTTCCTTTATTTTCCCTGGAACTGAGCTAAGCCTAGTCAGCCTGCAATTACTGGGCCATTCTCCTGGGCAAAATTAATACCAAATCTTTTGCTCTGCTCTGTGCCTGTATTGTGTCTGACCCTACCTTTCTCTGTCTCTGCCCTGATCTCCTTCAGAGAGTAGCATATTCCGCATGCTTATGAAAGGGCTTAGGGGAAGGGATTGATGCTTTTTTCTGTCCCTTGCAGAGCATTGCAGAGCTATTGCATGTAGGGACCTCTACAATGTGGCAGGGTGGAGGGCAAGAGAAAAGGGCTGTGGGGAGTTGCTTGCCCACAGTATCCCCTTGGTGTGTCCACAGTGTGTTAGTGACAGCCCTTGGTCACAAGAGAGACCAGATTGCCTGAGGAATGAGGGACAAATGAGGCGGGCAGAGCTGGAGAGTTCTCCTGCCCTGGCTTACATTTCTCAAAACCTTTGTCTGAAAGATTTAACAACACTGCTATGACTGATCATGCCATAATATCATCCTTTCAGTTGTTGTCAGCAGCAAGGCTCAGATGATATTATTTCTCCTTATCTGCAGGTCTGCTCTAATGTCTGCTGGAGTCTATGCGTTAGCATCAGATCAGAGTTTATGATTGTATTTCCCGGGAGCTGTAAAAGAAGTGTCACACTCATTCTCCTCCTTTTTGGGATGCTCAGCATGATCACAGTGTTTCCTCTGCAGGAGTGCAATAGCAGTTGCATTTGCTTCTCCAGAGGAGTCACAGAGCTTCTTTCCATTTGCAGGCCCCTTTCATGCAATGTGCAGTTTCAGAGCCACTGGTGGGGCTCCATCCCACCAAGCCACATTCTCCCATTGCAGCATTCCCCAGAGAACCGAAAAAAGATTTCTCGCACAGGTCCTGAAAGAAATCAGTGTTTATTCACCAGAAAACAGATTCAAGATCAAACAGCCAAGGTGACCTGTCGTATAAGTCTGTACAAAGAGCATATGACAGGCCATGGAGAGCGCAGGACAAGCACATGTTGCACAGGACAAAGGGTAGATGCAGTAAAATTGGTTTCAGATGATTGTTATTGTATTCAGCAACATCTTTTGTTGCTGTTCCCTTTGCTGTGAAAGCCTATTAATAAATGGAGACAGAGGCCATAATAATAATCTAAAGAACAACTGCTTCACAGTTCAGAGAGTAAATATAGTGCCATGGACCAGTAAGGAAGACGGCTCAATAGCAGAGAACTCAGCACAGACCAGTTAGAACCATTGATAACTCTGCCCATCACAAAGAAGAAAATCAGGGAAAAGAAGGAAGAAAAGCGATAGAGAAGTCAGCAGCAGAAAGCCGAGATGTACAGTAAGTGTGTGCATTGCTCTGTGACCCTCTTTGCCTGTAGTTAGAGGGCAGCGGGGCACATACCCTATTAAAAATCTCTTATAAAACCAGATCTTTTCTCTGTAACCTCTGCTTGTGGTGAGATAAGCTCATAAATGACAAGTCTGGTTCAGGAAAATGTTCTCAAAGTTTTCATTAAACATAAGGAGTAATAAAACATTACGAAAGGAACCCAAGCATTGTTTCTGTTGTAAACTGCAGGCAGTTTACTTCTCAGAGTTTGCTTACCAGTTATGCTTTCTCTGCAAAGCAGATCATTGGCGTCTCAAGTGTCTGCACGTAGCTCAAAATGTAGAGGTATTTCTTGGTGAAAGCCCTGCCTCCTTTGAAAACTCTGAAAGTGTTAATGAGGAAAGACAAGGCAGGCACCTTTCTCCACTCAGTTTTCTTCTCGGGGGGCTGAAATCAGGATGCTGCCTTTGCAGCTGAGGAGAAATATATTGGGCAGTGTGGTGTGTGAAGAAAACCCTCAGCAATCCAAACAGCCCCTCAGCTTCCTGAGAGGTGATATTCTTCATCTTCATTACTGTAGCCAGGAGCCCTTGGAGAGTAATGGATTTAAGAAGCCAGAGGACTCCCGTTTTTGTTCAAAGGAAGGGCAACTGAGATGGATGAATAGGCCCCCATGACCTTTCACCATCCAGATCTTGTGTTGAAGTACTTCCATCAAATTGCTGGGAATCGATGGTTCCAGCACTGGATGTGTCGGACTTGTTAACATTTGATATCCAACTGAGGTATTATAAAATCCTCTGCACTGTTCCCTGTGATCAAAGGCAAGCCCTGTGATCAAAGGTATGTGTTTGAGGATCTTTGACTCCTCCTAGAGAAAAGCACTAGTGATATCCTTACTTGAGTGCTGAATGAATATTTTGCTTACTTTTGCTTAACCTCTAGTACCAACTATTTTTTTAACTGAAATCTTATTTTTTCTGTAATTGTCTCTGTGTTCTCTGAATTCTTCTGCTGCCTCAGTTTCAAAGCACAAGAATCGCTATGTCTCTCAGGAAGTTTCCCATTTCTCCCTGGTCTGGCTGGGATGGCGTTAATTTTCAGCACAGCAGCCCATATAGTCCTGTGTTTTGGATTTGTGTCCAAAACAGCACTGATAACACACCAGTGTTTTAAATGTTGCCGAGCAGTGCTTGCACAGGGTCAAGGCCTTCCCTTTTTCTCACTCTGGCCCCCCAGGTAGGC